TTATGATTGGTTCTGACAATGAAAGCCATCACGAGGCAATCTTTGAATCTCAATGAACCAGTTTCATCTACAGACAGCCTTACTATATCATTTTTCTTTTTGGTGAACTGTACAAATATTATGTGCATATTTTTTACTTAAAAAATATAATTGTATTATGCATACAGTACTACTATTCAAAGGTTTGGGGTGGGAAAGATGTTTTAAAAATCTTTTTAAAAAATAGAATCTTGTTCAAAAATACAGTAAAAACAGTAATATTTTGAAATATTATTACAATTTAACAAAATTTCCTTTTGAAAATATTTTCAAATGTAATTATTACTGTGATGGCAAAGCTGAATTTTTTAGCATCATTACTCCATCCTTGCTGAATAAATGCAAGTGTTAATATTGATATCTAGTGTATAATATTGAGATTATATGCATTATATGCATGTACAAATAAAAAAAAAGAAATTGCAAAATGGTGTAGTAATTGTCAATTACTATTATTATTATTATTCTTATTAATTTCTTTAGGCTTCAGGGGCCGTTTTCACAAAGAATTTTATCTTACCACTAGGAGTACTCCTAAATCGCACTAAAATATTTTAGCTAGGAGTTTTCTCTTAAAAGTTATTCACAACACCTTTCAGACCTACTCTTAGTAAGAAAAAATTACAACTCCTAAACTAAGAGTGAGTCTTCGTTGCTATAGATGATGTCAATTTTCATGTATAAGCTTCCTCGCAATGATCACGGTGATTGGTTGTTAGATGACAGGGCTATCATGCGGAACATAACACAGACGCAACAAATCATGGAATTACGACATCTAAATATGTCTGTGTCCAACACAAAATAATAATAGTAAATTATGTCATCGAAATGCATATATAATGACATGTTTGTGCAGGCCCCAGTGAAGTGTAATTCTAAAAAGGCAGAGAGAGAGAAAAAAGTTGTGAATTAAATTAAATTAAATCAAGGTAGCCTAATACCTCAATGAAAACCGTCACTTGCCTAATAATGAAAAACGACACTTGCATTAACACTTGCTTGGTTAATTGAAATCCTATTAGCCTAAATAGACTACTTAAAGCAAGGACATGTTGCTCCTATTGAAGTAATGTAATAGTTGAATGACGGTGGATTATGAACTCGCCAAAACGGAAAAGAAAGCCCAACTGGACGCAGGATCAGTTACTGCTGCTGGCCCAGTTGGTGCTAGAAAAAAAAATAAAAATAAAAGTGAAATTCTGCACTGGGATATCAAGCAAAACTAAGCATGAGAAATGGGGAGTCCTACGCCCATTATTTTTAGGAGTTGCTCCCAAATTTGCCAGTTAAGAGCTACTTTTAGCCTTACAATGTTTTGTGAATATGGCCCCTGATTTCTAAAACATCTTTAAACCCTGGGTTTAAAGGTGTTCACATACTCATATAGTGAAAACCTTCTGAGGTTTAAATCTACAACCTTTAGATTGCTAGTCCAGATCTTAAACCACAAACCAGGACCACCCCTTGCAAATGTATAATAATACGGATCTTTCTCGAACGGATAGGACAGAACATCTTCAAAGAGACTGGAGAATAACATCACGGCACCACTACCATGGAGGTAAATAACAAACAGCCAACAAACAGAGAGATTAATATCTTTGTGTTTCTTTGGTACAAATATGGCCTAATGTGTCCCATGTTATCAAATCTGCGAACTAGAAGATGCAAACTCATGGGACAGCTGTAGGACGGCACTAATCGTCAAGGAGTGAATGTTCTAAATGTTCCTGACCTCCTGAGGGAAGACGCGGTCAATCAGATTGTGCTTTGTGTTAGGCTACATTGTGATGCTGATTTGTCCCTCTGTTAGTTGAGACCGCTGATGCCCCGCTACATGTCTCAGGGCACCTCTTCCCGCAATGCCTCGCTCTAACCATGTGTGTGTGTGTATCTGGTCTGAGATTCATCAGCCTTTTTGCATGTGATAGTTCACACCCTGCAGAGCTCACAGCCAGAGGGGTAAACAAACTCGGTGGCCTGAACACACAAATGCATATAACGGAACACAAAATCGCTCTTTCTTTAACACAGAGCCTCTATCTTTTGCAAAGACGTTGAGATGCACGGGCACAGAGAAGTAAGGAGAATCGCTCTCTCACACACACATTCAATTCAAAATGAAAATCGGCTCTGTTGCCGTGAACACAATGAGAATGTGTGTGAGTGATAGAGAGCCGTAGAGAGTTACACACACTTCAATGGCATCATTGAGTTCCTCGCCAGTCTTGGAGGGCGCAAGCATAGCAGAGTGTACCAAAATTGCTACGTCTCCTTTCATACTGACAGATGACCAACATACAGCTGGCCACACACAAAGTGTCCTCTAAAAGCCATTATATAAATCTATACACAGATCTATAAACTGTCCTTATAGGATTTTAAAATTACATAAGTAATTAATTTGTGTTGCGTAACACAAATACCATTTGGATGGTTTTAAAATCTCATTGATTTGGCAGGTTTTACTTGGCTGAATTAGCCCAAATAAACCCCTGACCATGATTTTATCATTCTCTGACAGGAAAAAAAGTAATTATTCTTCGACAAAACTAACAAAAAAGGGTGTTTATGACAGGTCTAAGAGAGTGTGCTCACCTGCAGTTTGAGAACATTTCTAATCTTAATTCTACACGCGATCTGACTGTAAACACTTTAACTCAGATAATTCTAAACATGGCAGGAATTACGGCGTTCCGGTCAACAGCCTTCCAACATCATCTCCAGAATGTAAGCAAACTGTAAAGGAAAGATATATCCCAAAAAGTGGATTACATTTTCAACAATAAATCTCAATGCTACTTTCAAGCAAAGTGTAGCCTTAAAAAAATCACTACAGAGTTACCATGGTTGGGTAAGGTACTTCAAATAATTCTATAGGTTTACTGTCAAGGTTCAAAAAACCTGGAATAGATCTGAAACAGTCACAAATACTTTTTAAGGAAGTTTCCACACAGCAGAGTTTTGCGAGTCTGAATTTAACCTTTATAAGCAAAATGGAAAAAAAAGACACCAAAATAAGCATAATGGAATAGAGATACAGTGGATTTTTAAGTGTACTTTAAGTTTTTGGGCTCACTGTATCTAGTTTCCCCCGGTTTCACAGGCAAGACTTAGGCCTAGTCCCAGACTTAAGTGCATGTTTGAGCTGTCTCAAACATGGTCACCCCATAAAGGTAAATAATGCCCATTAAAATCACTTTCACAGGGCAAATATTGGCCATTACTGGCTCCCAACTGTTTGAATTTGAGAATGAACAAAACTCATTCACTTATAATTTGTTTTAACCATTTGTACAGTATAGGAAGTGTAATGCATAATAAACAGTAAATATGGCAGCTATACGCATCCAGCTGAAAGCAACTTGCACTGACATAGTTTAAAATATGTTAGTGCCATATTTTTATCTCAAGATGCACACCAGTCTAAGGCACTTTTATAAAAGCTACTTAAATATGCCTAAATTGAACTAAGGTCTAATCCTGGCTTAATCTAAGTCCTCTCTGTGAAACCGGTCCTATAGTTTCTTAACTGGTTTTGCATCATGACCCAGATTTTACTTTAATCAAGTGGTGACTCAAATCAGTAGCAAAATTGTTCATCATTTAAAATGTTAACAAAAATGTCCTTATCAAATGTGAAACAATATGCCCAAATTATTAGTATTAGCATGCACGGGTCCTGTTCGGTAAGTCCGATCAAGTTTAATACAAAGGCCGCACCCACATTCAAGTAAATCTACATAAAGTACAGAAAAACTGGGAGGGAGGGAGTTTCGCAGTGTGGAAATTGAATGCCTCATAATCACAGATACAGGCCATTTAATAAGTTTGAAAAGGTGTATAAAGGTGCATAAATAAAATAATATAACCAATGAACATTATGTAAAATGTAAAAAATATAGTGCAGTATTTTCATACCAAAAATCAGTTTGATTGGACGCACTGCCTGGTGTAAAAAGAGCATAAAACGAAATGTGTTTTCTTTGCTCTATGGAAATGTGAAAATCTACCACAAGTTAATATTTCACTATCACTGTCTTACAAAATTGTGTTGTTTTCATCTATGCTGACCATTAGCATACGCCATTTACAATAGAGCATGATGCTAGCAACGCCAAGGCAATAGGTTTGATTCCCAAGGAATGAACAAACTGATAAAACGTATACGTTGAATGCAATGTATGTTGCTTTGGATCAAGGCGTCTGCCAAATGCATAAATGTAAATGTGACTATCAAACAAACCTAAGGCCTGAAGTTGTGACCCACAACTGAACAACCTGAAGTTGTGACCCACCAGTTCAACCTGCTTTAAGGACCATCAAAGTGGCACATATGCAAACTATGTTCACACACATCAGTTCCCACCAGGGTCTGAAAATAACCAGGGCTCAGGGCACAAATGCTCCACATACTTTCATCCTTTTTATCTGTTATCTTATATATATATTTCATATTATTTTCAATGCCTACATAGTGATGGGTTTAGTGCCTCCATAGAGATATTGTCATCCATCTATAGATCAAAATCTGCTCTGACAGCTGCTGAGAGATCAGCCAGCCATGTAAACAGCAGCAGAAGATTGCAAGATCTCGAATAACAGTCAAATTGTTCATCGTAATACACTGATTCAATTGAAATATTTGACATGGTGTGTTTTATATTGCAAATACTGGCCATTACTGTCTGGCTCCCACCTGTTTGAATTTGAGAATGAACAAAACTCATTCACTAATAATTTTTTTTTAACCACTTGTACAGTAGTATAGAAAGTGTAATGGATAATAAACAGTAAATATGGCAGCTATAAGCATCCAGTTGATGATTCACAACAACACACGAAATACATGACACTAAACATTGAATGAATGACAAGATGGTGGAAATAATGAGAGATAAAGAAAGATCTAAAAACTGATTCCCATTGCCATATTGCCATTCATTCATTCTTCATACCTTGACGCTGGTGCAGCTGGTTTGAGTCTCGGCCTCTGTGCGCATGTGTCCGCCGCTGTTCTCTTTCCGCTCCCGCTGAGAGCTGGTCCGCGTGTGCCTGGTCTGGTACGCGATCACGGAGGGGATGGTATCCGCCGCGTCGGTCTTGATGAAGAGGCCGTGCAGGGTGGTCGCCGTACCCTGCGAGATGGTGGTCGTCTGGTGCGGAGAGTTGGACTCGTCCGAGTCGCGGCAGTAGATCACCCCGCTCTGCGAGACGTGGATGCTGGGAGCGCAGCCCATCGTTCCCCTCGCCTTGTTGCGTAAAACCCGGAGGGACGAATCTGAAGACCGCCGCTGTCACACCGCCGCTGCCGCTCCCGGGCCGCTGTCACGCCGCCGTCCCCCCGGTACATTGGCCGGTGTTCGCGCTGCTCAGTTCCTGCCTCCCGCGCGCGTCAAGGAAAAACGTAGAGGAGATCCATCTCACCGCGTTATTTATCAGTGATCATATCAGATCAGATCAATGACACCTCGACTGTCCAACCGTGAGACCGATGCGCTTGTGCCATGTCACATTTTTGGACAAATTACACCCTCATTTCACCTCAGCGTAAGATACTACACGTTCAGGCTGCTCGATAAGATCCATTCTCTCGCAGCATTGATAATCTGTATTTCATCACGACGTCGGAGCTCTTAAATAACAGGCGCAAAGCATTAGACTCTGAGAATATGTCTCAAAAACTTACACTCATGGTCCTTTAAGACACACGAGCGTCATCAGTGACAGACACGCACATCAATGACTCCCTCTTCCCATGAACACGCACACACACACAGTATTTATTCATTCTGGAATAATTCTGAATTCATCTTTTGCTGTTTGCAGAGTTTAAAGATGAACTTGAGAAGAGAGACACTGATATTTATGACTAATCTCATTCAATAGCATTCAAATGCATAAACAAGACAAGGGATTGACTCAACAAGGTGCAGTGTGGCCCATTAATGCAGATACAATTGAATGACATGCAGCAACTGAAAAAGTATAGGCTAAGGGTTGAAATAAATCCAAAAATGGGTTTTCACAGCAATGTCATAGATTTTGTGCCATTGAAGAGCCTTTCAGAACAGTTTAGTAACACTTTTTTAGTGTCCTTGTTACATATGTTACATGTACTTACCGTATAGGCTAATTATGCATAATTACATGCCCCTCAACCAAATCCTAATCCTATAACCCTATAATAAGTACATGTTAGTTGCTTAATAATATTTACTGAGTACCTAAATGTATAATTATATTGTAACAAGGACACTGTAAAATAAAGTGTTACCAAATATTTTAATAATATAAAGAATCTTTTTCCACTAAATAACCTTTTGTGCATTTGAAAGGTTCCATTGATGTTAAAGGTTCTTCACCATCAATGCCAATAAATAACTTTTATATTTTAGAGTGTACTTCACACAATATTTATTTGTAATTCACTCAAAAAGAAACAGTAAAAAATATCGTTGGTTTAACTTAAAAAATAGCTAAGTAACCTGGTTGCCTTCAAATTTTAAGTTCATTGAAATGGAAAAATTTAGTTACTACCATGAAGGAGATTAATTTAATCACCAGAAACTCAAAATATTATGTTATCTGAGCTACATAAATTATCTAGTAGATTTGACAAAAGATTTTTTTTTTTTTTACAGTGTTCATCCACACTGCTGGAGGACTACAACTCCGGCACGCTTATCAGCCGATAATCTCAAAAAGGCCACATTTCAGGTCTATCACTAAACAAGGCCAAGCAATTGACCTTAGCCTTGATGCATCAAAAATGCTTTGAACATTGTGAATGTTCATAAACAATGACTTGAAAAGCTCTACAAGCATTAAAACGGTAGAGCATGGCCAAGGTTTCAAATCCCAGGGAGTGCATGAACCAATAATATATGAATGCAATAAGTCACTTAAAGCGACTGCCAAATGCATAAAATGTACAGTGTACGGCTGTAGGATCAGTGATAGCACATCTGGATTTCCAAATGTTTGGATATTACAGGTCCAAGCTCTAAAATGTTCCAAACATCTGTAAAAGACTGATAAACCCAGATATGACTACACTGACCTTTTATTATGCTGGAGTTTATTTAACAGATTCTTGCATGGGTGGGAAAAATGTTTTGGCCCAACTTTTGCAAGTCACTCTGCACACGTGCCATAGGCTACATGTGTATGCAAAATGTTCAATCTTGACATTGCATATTCGGGAAATGCCAAAAATATTTCTCTATTCTGATTCCACAGATGAACTGAAAAATCTACCCACACTCTGTCTCTCAAAACGTATGTGTGATTAAAAGAGTGACATTGCATTGCAAAAAAAAGTATGTTATTTTTATGTAGTTATATGTTATTTTGTTTTTAGGACAAAATACCATGGATTGTTCAATACAGTAAAGTAAACACCATGGAAATGCCATGTTATATGAATATGATCCAGTACCTCAGTACAATAAATCAAAAATACAAAGGCAGTAATAAAACATGTGGTTAAACATTTATATAACCAGTGGGAAATCTTCAGGTTGTCAGCTCAGGATGTTAGGCTCAGACACTGGTTAGAGCAATTAAAAGTGTTTTTTTTTTTTTTCTCCCAGGATGCAATGCAACAATTGCAATGCCCTCCAGTGTTAGAAATTTACAGAAGCTCATAGCAGATTAATTATGAACTGTCAATGTGATTTGTTAAGTATGCTTTAATCACCCATTCTTAATGGAATTGCACAGTAGAATTATAAAATTAATTAAAGCTGCAAGCAGCATTTTGCGGGGTTCAAGCAGTTTAGGCCTTTAAGGCCTTTAAGCACAAAAGCATCAAAAGACATTAAGTTTTATGTAGCAAGCATTATTTACCATGATAAACCATATTTCAATGTTATTTTTTATGATTTACCATGTTCTAGTATGATTTACCATGAATCTAACATGATTTTCCATAGTTTACCTTGATATACCATGTTATAGGATGGTTTACCACAATATAGCAAGTGAAAAGACTATTAATAAGAAAAGTGGCCAGCAGAGGGCAGTAGAAGACCACTTATTGGCACACTTCCATTTTGAAATGCTTTGTTTCTCCACTATTCTGCACTAAAGCAAACCATTTTTTTCATGTTAACTTCATAAAGCTTGCTTACACACAAACGCACGCACACGCACACACACACACACACAAACACACACACATTTATAGTGTGTACAGTATATGTATAGTTTGACTGCAAAACATTAACAAAAAGAAATTTGTTAAATAAATTAACTATGCAAAATATAGTGTGTACTAGGGGTGGAGCCGAATACGGTATTCGGAAAGGCACAAATAATGTGTTTTTTACGAATACTTATTCCGAACAAATACTTAAAAAATATTTGTGTTCGGGAACAAGAAATACTGTATGTCAAAAAGCTGCGTTCCTCACGAGACCGCAGTGCGCAAGTTGAGTGAGCGACGTTCAGGAAGAGGTGACTGACACAGGCTGCTCCACACAGCAACAGAGAGGGCTCGGCTGAGCGAAAAAACACTTAACTGCATCACTATTTTTGTTGAATAGATGTTTGTACCTTAACTAGGTTCCAGAGGCAGTTTATAACTTTCGGGAAGCGGAGTTTGATCGGGAGTATATTCCATTATTGACGTCTGCAGACGAGTGCTCTCCTGTTCGCTCTGTTTACGTAGCTCTGTTAGCTTGGTAACGGTAATTATTTGTTTCTTATATGGCTTGGTTGAATTCTAATGTAGAGTGCGGTCTGTTATTATAACAGGCCGCTGCTTATAAGTATAACACACCGTTGCCATGAAAAACAGAGCGTTGCCATGGATTCTAAACGTAGAGACAGAACGGACTATTTTTCTTTTTTATCGGCAATCGTTTTTTAAATCAATAAACTCCTGTTTATATCTATATTTTGAGTCAAATTATTGATTTACTTGGTAGGTAGCAATGTAATAAGCAGGGTAATGTAGAGCGAGGCGGTTGTTATAGCAAATATAAACCCGCAGGCTTTGCGTAATCCCTAACTTATTCTGTCTGTTAAGCGTCCTTCACCGTGGTGTTGGGGTTCATAATGTTCACAATTGTATTTTATTAGTTGTTGGTTTAACCATGGTTCATGAGGTAATGGCTGACTGTTATTTTCTTCTCAATGACTTTTCTTGTTACATGTTCATTGCTGGATTTATAGAAAAACACCAACCAATATTGCATAATGGATATAATTAAATAATTCATAATAGTAATTGAAAAGATTTCCTTTCTAATCTCTTTCAACTCCATTTCGCTTTTTCAATGAGACTCTGCCACTTCACCATGCACGACTCACCTGTTGCCTATAAATTGATTGTGAACCCTTTGGCTCATTCTTTGCACTCTTTCCTGGCATTTTGATGCATAACTGTGTGTGTCTTCATGAATTACGTGAGTCCATCTATTAATTTGATTGTGTTTACATTGTTTATGCCTTTTAATGATTTAATGTCACTGTCAGCCTGTGCGCTGCTAATTGATTAATTTGTTTGCCAGACATGTGCCCTGAGCCATGTTGAAAGATTGTTTGTTTCAATGATTTTTTTACAGCCTGTTTTATTGTGATTAGTACTCATATCTTTGTTCATTTATATCATTGTTCCTTTTGTGTTGATTGATCACTGTCACCAATTGTATTATTTCTTTATCTCCTTATGCAACAACACACAAACAATGCATTGATCCAAAGTCAACATGCAGGCACCTAAGACGAACTCTTATATTGCGCTGCATTACTGTGTTGTTGACTATTACTGACGGTAAGGTTGTACTGTTGACCCTCGCGCAGCCTCTCGAGCAGAAATCTACACAAATGAGCGCAGAACACACTCAGACCCCATTTACACCTGGTATTAAAATGCGATCTGTATCCAGATAAGTTATCCGGATAATAAAAAAACGCATGTTAATGCAAGGTGTAAATGCGTTGTGATCGCGATTGGATCTGCCTGACCACATCTGCTGGTAGTCTGGCTCGCATTGTGTCCGGATCTTTACTAGGTGTAAACGCAATCTGGTTGTTGAAACCACATATGTATATTTTACTCCTCCCAAAAAGGCAAAAAAATAAACGAGTAAGCTTGTTATATAGGCTATAAGTCATGTTATAGTCAGATATGACGGCGCTACTGCGACACGGATCACCCATCACCGCTCATGAGCGTCTATTCATCGAGCCAACGTGCAAACATCGCAAATAAAAGTGAAAGTAAGTCACAGACGCTTAACACACAATCATCTTCAAGTAAAGAAACGAAATTATCTTACCAGCGGTGTTGCCACTCTTTTATTGATGTCTTTGATTTGGAAATTAGCTGATGATCAACGAAATGCAGCTCATATCTGTTGCTTTTGGTGTCGTTCAATCCATTAAATCTGCATACGCGGGAGTTTAAGATCGGATTTATATCCGTTTTGCAAAAACACATGTATGTGGCCAGGTGTAAATGGAAAATCTGTATCCAGACAAGTTGTCTGGATACAGATCGCATTTTAATACCAGGTGTAAATGGGGTCTCTTATTTTTCCTGAACACCATCACGATTGAAAATGTGACATTGATTTCCTACAACAGTTCAATAAACAGTAAAAAATTAAATCACTTACATTTTAGATGCTATATTGGCTGTTTTTGTTGTGTTTCAGCAGCGAAAATAGTTCCAAACAATAATCACAGCAGAACCACGGCACATGTCACAGGAACACTCGACGTGTTTTCATTACTGAATCATTCAGCATTTTGAACGAATCGATTGAGTCAAAGATTCAAAGACACATTCAAAAACATCGGTCTCATTCTTGAATGATCAGCCGTTTGAACGAATCGTTTGAATGAATGAATTGAATGACTCACTCATTAAGACGGTCGCCTGCCACCACCTACTGGCGGTTTAGTGTTAAATGTTTAAAAGTAGT